TTTGTATTTAGAAGAGAAGGAACCTCAACGGTCCCACGGGTGGCGCCAAAATGATGGTGTAAATTATCGACCGGTATATCATTTTTAGCCCGGCTAAAAACGATAAACTAGTCTAAAAATATAAACACGAGGATTTTTACGTGGAAACCCAAATCGGGAGGAAACCACGGGCCTTTTTTGGCGGTACCTTGCCAACGGGGGATTTTTATTAATATCGGGGGTGTGTACATAGTACATGATTTAGGCGTAGAAGCCATTAATGGAGCATTTGATCTCTCTTGAAGAAAAAAAATATACACACTAAATCCTTCTAGAGAGAGAGAGAGTAAATGGGCAGGAGGATGAGAGAGGAAAAATGGCCTCCTTCTCTTGGTGGGATACTTCTCTTTTATAGGAGGGAGGGGGAGCATCTTCAAAGGAATATTCTCTTATTCCTTCATTTTATTAAACATGCCCGATTTGACTGTTCTTCATAAATAATTGGAAAATGTGGGCCGAGCCACGTATTATTTCCCATCAAATGCGAATCAAAAAACGTAAGGCAATTTAGATATTATTCCATTTATAAGTTCATCACTAAAATCCTCACAATCAAGTCTCACTCCCAACTAGTGTCATGTGCACTCCAAGAGGTGCCGAGAGGCCAAGCTCAAACCCATTGAAGGTGCCCGATGAGCGGGTCGAAGCCCCTATCTCCGAGGTGCTGAGAGCAGGTCGCGGACTTCCATGCGTACCTTTTTATCCCTAGGCCACTGAGAATGCACTCACGCCTCACATGGCTTGAATCCTAACAATCTTAACAATCTTATTGGTGACTCTTGGTGACTATAAAATTAATCCCTAGGCTTGAATCCTAACAATCTTATTGGTGACTATAAAATTAATTCGGTCAAGACCAACCTAACTCAATAGGTTATTTATCTTAGCGCATAATCATAATCCACAATCCCTCACCAATAGTTTAATTCATAGCAATTCACAGGTCAAGATTTCATCATATTAGGTAGCGGCCTAATGGGAATCATGGGCACTCCATTTATCGTCATGCTCAAGCAAACAATATACCCAATGAAATTAAATAGAGTAAACTTCATAATTGGTCCTTTATAACAGGGGGTTTCCATATTTAGTCCTCTATTATCAAATATTACCCACATAGTCCTTTTTTAAGGGTACCTTTCCACAAATAGTCCTTTTTTTGATCTTCTACCGTGTTAGTGTTAATTTAAAGGCTAAAAGTATAATTTGACATCAACATTATGTCTACTAACGTGTTCTGATATTGGTTAAGCGGATAACACAAAAATAATGACTATAATTGTGAGCAAGGATTCTGACGAAAGATCACATTTGTAGACTATAGCTGTCGTAAAAAGTGATTGTAATTCACAAACAACGCTAACGGAACATCCTTTGTAATTGTGTATGACAAAAAAGATATATTATTAGGCCAATGCTAGGGGTATACCAACATGGGGTACCCCAAATGTACACCAAGCCAACACAGACACACACAGATACAAAATGTCTGTGCAACACAGACACTTTGTGTCTGTGTGTGTCTGTGTTGGCTTGGTGTACACTTGGGGTACCCCATGTTGGTGTACCCCTAGCTTAATTCATATTATTATTGTAAAATTACACTTTTAGTTCTCAAATTAACACCAACATGGTTGAAAATAAAAAAAGACTATTTGTGGAAAGGTACCCATAAAAGAATGACCACTAGAGTAATACGGAGTATTTGATAATAGAGGACTAAATAGAGAAACCCCCTTATTATAAAGGACGAATTATAGAATTTACTCAATTAAACAAAATTACTTGTGTTGTGAATTCGGGACCAAAGATTCAATCATCAAGCCCGCTGCCCTCGCCAGAACAGTACAATTGCTACCACACTAGCGTGACAACCTGCCAGACCAACCCGGCAGCTCAACAAACAAAACTACAACCCAAACGGTCCATATTGGCCCAATTAACCCAACTGTCACGCCCTAAATGGCCGACAAAAACCACCCACAGATCGTGCCCATAGCCCAGCCTAAGTAGACGAAGTTACATTTTCAAAATAAAACCTTGTTTGTTATCAATTAGATCTTCACATGCTGAATTGGTTAGAATGGATTAAACCGTACACATATCCATTAAGAATGAACTCATATGCCTTTTAACCAAATATCACTTGCCAAACAGGCCTTAACTGAGCTCAAAATATTCTAATCTTTATGTCTCTAACTTCTCTTTGAATGTTGTTATGAAATAAAATAAGTTCACTGTTTGGACAATCAATCAAGAGAAATTAAGGCTTCTTCACTTAGTTGCAACTCGATTTGATTCAAACATCCCCGGCATAAATATTACCTAAACCACTTGACCACATCACTACGGTATGAAGAGAGAATCCATCTTCTATTGAAGATGCAGCTAAGACCCACCAATTCAACTTCAATGAATTTGAGCCACCGTTAACTTATGATCTTTTAATTCCACTTTAGCATTAGGATATTATTTGTCTTTTTTTATTATTAAGAACTAAATATTCTTAATTGATTCTCATCGAATCCCAATCTGCCCAAAGTGTTATGACCTTTATTTTTAGATTTATATTGATACTTGCATTTTACATTGAATAAAAATAAAATATAAAAAATATATGTATTGAATCTGTTAGGTTACTTTACTTTGAATTTTTAAATAATTTTCACACATATAAAAGAGTATTACATATTTAAGAAAACTAAATATTCAAAAGTTTTGGAAAAATGAAAAAATATATACACTACAAATGAAGAGCTCGTTAGAATGAAAAAATTGTAACTTTATTTTTATATCATTATATTTCATATTAAAATATATAACTTTTGAAAACTATTGAATTAGTGGGTCAGTTTTGTCAGAATTGAGTACGGACGGATTTAACCCATTTTTAGCTGATCATTTCAAATTTGGCAAATTTCGAGTTTGATCAACAAAACCTTGGATCAAAAACCAGTATTTTTTGGGTTGGATGTTGAGTAAAAAACAGGCCGGGTAACTTTTTGTCAGATCTACATCCACTACACGCGCCAAACGTCAATTGAGAGAATCCTTTCCGATCCCACCATAAACTAATTTACTTTCTTTGGATAAGGAAGGAGGAGGAGGAGAGAAATGTATCAAGGATTTACCTTGTGGCCACTCTCCACGTTGAGAGGAGGAGGAGGAGAAGAAGTACTAGTGGAGGGTGGAGGTGTGAAATCGGGTTGTTGCTTGCAAAACTTCATCTAAAAATCTGACTAGATTACTCACCACAAAACCCTATACCAGCCACAACATTTGCAGTGCGTCTAAAGGCTCACTGCCACTTTGGAACAGTTGGATTCAAATTCTAATAACAGTTACATTCGGCATTCATCCAAAATTAGGGATTGGAAACCAAATCAATTCGATTACATGACAATCCAAACAAATGTATTTATTATGTGTCCCTCCACCAAGACAAAGAAAATTAATAATACAAAGCACACAAGACACATCAAGTTCGCACCATTGTAAACATCACTAATAAAACAGAAAACAGGGAGGATAAAAGGAAATGAGGCACCCATGTGAGTTTGTTCGAGGTCCCCTGAAAAACACTGCCATACCCCATACGCCTCCTGCAATAACAAATATCTGCACACCCAAAGAAAAGCATGCATTACTGCCGTCATCATTATAATACAAGTTTTCAATAGATCTCAATCAGCTACTGCTCTACCATTCCTATCTGTTGCATCTGAGATCATAGATCTCAATCAGCTACTAGAATGTTCTGATATCTAGGTATTAAACCATCTTTAAATTATTATTCCATAATATTTTTCATTCATAAAAACAATGTAGCTAAATACATTTCTATTGTGTAGAAGAACGTTGCAGTGAGGCTTATTAAGCTGCCCGTC